AACGACTATCTAAATGTTATTTTAAATAGCTGCAACCCTAAACCCCCTAACCCTACACACTAGTAAAAGATAGTCAGACAGTCGCTCGCCTCTCGTCTTAGTCTTAAGTCTCAGGTCTTGATTGATTACTCTTCCCAGGTCAGTCATAAAATCAATTACTTGCAACTTAGTATTATTTGCACTCCGAAGAATCAAGACAAACAAAACCTATTGCAATAATGCATCAGATGAGAATCGAGCCTGAGGTCTACTTCACTGTGGATACGGACGCCTACCAGCGTGAACTCCGCCCGACTTGGCTCTTCAACGACAAGCTGGTGAACTCTGACTGGCAGCGCTTCCAGATCAGGGTGGCACACCCCCTCCAAGTCCCGTCCCACTTGCAGGGATACAGCGTCGTCCTCCAGCAGACAGGCCCAGTCCTCGACCCGATCCCGGCGGCTCTCCGCTCCGGGGTGTTTCTGACGGTGGGCAATTTGAAAGCCTTGCAGGCCGCCTTCCAGATCCCAATGGGGCCAAAGGGCCGCGGCTCCGGCAAGTCCGGGAACTTCATCAAAACCGATTACGCGAGCCGCATCCTCACCTTCTTCTTTGGGGAGTCCCTCGACCCGGGGGAGCAGAACCGTATGATGGAATTCCTCATGGGCAAATCTTCGCAGCGGAATGGAAAGGGCAGCAGACACGCTGCCGAAATCCTTGCCGCCTTCCAAAGCCTGAACCCGGAAGATCAGCCCCAGTTCACGGATCTAGCTGCAGTTGCTGCAGACGAGGAGAAACTGAAGGCTGCTCGCTCGGAGCGTGCCGACATGCGAACACTGCATGCCAGTCCGATGCACGAGACGCCGAGGGTGCTTGGCCGGCTCCTGCCCTACGGACCTGGCTTTACTTGCCGATTCAATCGGCACCCGGTGGAGCAGAGGTACCAGTGTTTCCTTATCCACGCCGAGTCTGGATTCTTGGTGTGATGTAAGACTCCTCTGTTTGAAATTAAAGTAGAGTTTGTTTTAGGTTGAAGTTTAGGGGTTTAGGTTTTAGGGATTTAGGGTTTAGGGGTTTGGGGTTTGGGATTTAGGGTTTTGGCTAGGGTATTTTTTAAGATTAGGGTTAAGTTTAGGGGTTAGTTAGGGGGTTTAGGGTTTAATATTAAGGTCTAAGGTTTACGGTTAGGGGTAGGGTTTCGGATTTCGGGTTCGGGTTTAATTTATTAAGGACGGGTTTAGTGACACTTGACTTAGTCTTCAGGCTTGAAATTCACGGTGTCACAAGTCATAAGTCTAAGTCCTGGTCTTAAATTCAAAACCCTAAACCCGAAACCCTAAACCAGGACCAGCCTAAAATTAATTTAATAAATATAAACTATAATCCCGTAACCCTAACCTCAACTTAAAGGCTAAACTTTAAACTTTAATCACCCTAAACCCTAAGCCCGGGGTAACCCTTATTAATTAAAGTTAACCTTAAACCCTAAACCCTAAACCCATGTCAAAGGACGCCAGGAATCTCACGCTGCGAAGTGGCAGGGCGTCCGCCGTGGGCTCACCCAAGTAGATGCCTTGAAGGAATGCGTGGACTGGTGCTGGAGTCAGGTTCGCATGAGCTACGAGCTACAAGGTTTTCAGAAGGAGCCAGGGGCTTAGGAATCACTGTTTCCGAATTTCAGTCGTCAGTTTCCCGTGGCTTTATTAGTCAAGGCTTGAGTAGGACAATTAAGTCTAGTCTGGGCAGGCTTAAAAGCGATAGCAAATTAAATTAAGATAGACATAGAATCCTGGTCCCCCTAATAATAATAATGGCCTAAGGCTTTAATGAGTCATTCGACAATGACATGTGTGTAGAATCAAGGCCGGCGCTGGCAGACCTGGAAGCTGTCGTGGCTGGCTTTGACAAGAACACAGGCTTCATTACTCCTCCAGGTCCCGCTGATTCAATGCCTACCACCCCAAAGAGCTCCAAATCGAAGCGCATCCCTTCAATGGTTGACGACGATGCTTTGGACGCCAGTCCCGGTGCCCCCAGTCTCTCCATGGGTCCTCTCGGTCCAAGTGGCAGTGCTGGGCGCGGGAGAGGTCGCGGACGTGCAGCGCGGGCGGTGGCCACCGAGCAGGGCGCCAAGCGAGGCCAAAAGAGAACCCGTGCTGAGTGAACGTCAACGTGTGACCTGTGTCCGTCTGACTGTCTCACCCTTTAGCCGGACTGCGTGCATATGCCCCGATCTGTCTGATCTTGTAAACCGAAACAATCACCAGTACTATTGCTAATTATTTAATAGCCCTAGGCCCCTAGCTCGGCCCTCGACCCTAACACTCTGCAGCAATCACGCAGTGCTGGCTATGTTTCATTAACAGCACAGTAATTAATGATGCCGTGCTCTGGCAATGATGCGGCAGCTCAGTGGAAGCGGCAAAACATTTGCAGGACGAGGCGCGAGCTCCTGTGGCTGGGTCTGTGAACTGACTTCCCGGATTCCCCAGCTGTAAGTCATCATTCATCAAGAATCCCGAATCCCTAAACCCTAAAAGCCCTAAACCTGAAACTCGAAACCCCTTGCCACTCATGGATCCTAGAGGATGGGGGGCCCATCGACAGGGGGCCCCTTAGCTTTTCCTGATCCAAGGCAGAGTTGAGGGTTTAGGGCTTAGAGAATGCGGAAGCCTAAACTTAGTGCCGCTGTTATTCCTTAGGGTTCCGTTTCCGTGTTATAGTAAAGAGGAGCCCAAACCCTGTTCCAAAAAACAGGCCCCCATAGTAATACTCCGAGGGTCCATGTTCAACGAGTTTTTGGTTGTTGTGTTTGTTGTCATTCGCTTAATAGTCTCCATTGTATAGCTCCCTTTTTGGTTTAAACAAGGTTCGATGCAGGATCCTATAACCCCAAAAAGGGAAGTACAAAGACCCTAAACGCCAAACTCTAAACCCTAAACCCCTAGACCCTAAACCCCAAATTTTAAACCCTAAACCCCTAAACCCTAAACCCCTAAACCCTAAACCCCTAGACCCTAAACCCCAAACCCAAGGTGTAATGGAGATCTTTTAAAACAAGCGACCCGGAGACTCATGAGACCTGGAGTTCGGCACTACTTTCCAGAGCTTCCCTTTGTTAAGTTCTTTGTTAAGGGTAGAAAGGGGTCTAAATTACTTCTATTACTTTTTTGGGGTTCCCTACTATAACTATAACTATAGTAGAATGGGCCCCAAAACACTATTCTAATTGTTAAGGCTCCTACATGTGTTTATTTGGGGTTAGGGTGAGATTTGAGGTTTTTTTAGGGTTTGGGGGTGTGAGGGAGGGGCATGCGGTTCCTCAGGGTTCGCGATATATGTACAGCATCATTGACCGCGACATATGTACAGCATCATTGACCGCTAAGCTTTATTCTTACTATTATCAAGCCCCCTATATATCAGAGTGCCCGGGGCTTGGGGAGTTTGAAGCCTTTGTTGACTTCCTGGGCTCCGAGCACGAACTATATCTGAAGCACCCAACCCCCAGCTCTACCCTAAACCCAGATGGACGAAATCGTCGGAACTGGTTCCTTAGATTTCCTGACGATAGTTAGTCGATAATGACCCGAGAATTTGGATACCCCCCAAAATCAGATGCTACAGCGGTACAAGCCCTATCTTCTACAAGCCCCAATCCTTAATCAAACTATAGAGGCGGTAATGAACCCCCTAACTCGTTTAGGGTTTAGGGTTTAGGGTTTAGGGTTTGGGGTTTAGGGTTTAGGGTTTAGGGTTTAGGGTTTAGGGTTTAGGGTGTTACCGAATTAAAATCCGCTCCATTGATGTGCGACCTGGCATTTACGTGTGCCCAGCCAATGCATGCAGAACCAGGTGCGCTTGTGGTTTCGGGGAGAAGTCGGGGTAACTCGAGGTTGCGATACACCAACCCTAAGGGTCCATGTACCCATATAGCATATACTTAGACCCCAAAGCACCCAAATAGGAACTACATTAAGGCCAATGTTTATACTATATGAGTACATGGACCCTTAGGGCCAAGTTGGAAGAGGTAGAGTTTTAGTGTGGGTTGCAAAGTGAAGCGTGCCATCAGGAGACCTTGCATGTTTCATCTCAGCTACTCTAAGGATTTAGAGCTTTGGGCGTATGTGACATGGCTGCGGAGGCGTGGCTTCGAACTGGCCTGAAACAGAGTTGTAAATGCCGCTCACAAACTAACAAGCATCGAAACATGCAAATAACTTGCGGGGGGGGGAGGGTATCCTTGCTCTATCGGTTTGCTGAATTTGTAAGGAGCCGATTATGAGTTCTCCCAACCTTCGATTTGTTTTGTTCGGGTGAATTGAAATTGCGGTCCTAGGAAGACGAAACCCATTCTCTGCAGGTTTTCTAACATATCGATGTAGTATAGGGGCCTTGATAATTAGAATGGGGTTTTGGTGTATATTATATTATGAATATAAAAGGGAGCCCTGCAAATAGTGTAGCTAATTGTTTAGGCCCCTATATTAGCGGGATTGTGGTGGGGTTTAGGGTTTAGGGCTTAGGCTCTTATGTAAACCTTTGAACCGAAGCCCCTTTCAACATGGTTAAGAGTGAATCCTGGAAGCCTGGCAATGTGTGCCATATATCTCAAAATACAACCCTGCCAGTCGGAGCCCCACACAGACGCTCAAAGCTCAAAGAAGCCCTAAACCCTAAACCTTAAAAACGAAACCCTAAACCCTAAACCGCATGTATAGAGACGGTTATAGAGCCTTTGGTTCCAAGAGCTCATGCAACCAAAGCCCACACGTGCTTGGCATCCGGGAGTAAATTATCTAAACCCTAAATGCCCTAAACCCCCAAAAAACTGAGCCCCAGCGACTCGCCGCAAACAGTGTTCCAAGTCTGCCTGATGCCAGGCCATGGGCAGCCCTCGACGCAGCTCGCCCCGAATATGGGAAACGGTAATATCGGGGCCTTGAAAATTAGAATAGGGTTTGGGGTATATATACTATATAATAAGGAACTCCCAAAACCCTATTGAAATTTGTAAGGCCCTTACATTAGCAAATTTAGTGTTTAGGGTTGAGGGTTCGTCATCTGCAGAGATTCCCGAGGGACCAAGTACCACCAAAGGTTTTGTGGGTAGTTCTCTGGTTTGACCCCCCCTTTCTTCGGCTCGTAAGTCTTGCTGTAAGTGGGGGTTTCCGAAAAACGGGGACCCTAATATAGTACCCTAATTAATAGGATCCCTATTATAAGGACCCCAAAATAAGGTGCCCCAATTTTCTGAAACTCCCAAGCGAAGCATCAGGCCTGGAGTGGCGTGATCCTGTTGGGAAACTTATCATAACCTTAGTAGGGGGTAGTTGGTGAAAAGGCAGCGATGGCTTTGCTCTCGGGGTGTTATGCCTAAACCCAAAACCGCAAGTGATGAAGAACAACAACCGTCGTCGACTCCTGATGTACCGCAGGCTAGGTTTAGTCTGTGCTAGAAGCACGTGTTTTGGGCCACTTGTTGAGTGCAGGCCCACCATGCACAGGAGGTCTGCGTTCGGAAAGTCTCCCACTGCGCCTTTACAAAACAAAAGCCTTAATCCCTAACCTCTAAACCTCATGTCTCGCGGCCGGGCGCATGAACGGGACGTAGAGGCAGTGTGAAGGCCTTTACAGTGCTTTAGGCTCTGTCACTTGGGTTGTTCTCTAAATTAGGATCCCTTTCAGGCGCCTTTTGATAAGGCTGCCGTGCTAATACGGTGCTGGGGACCAGAAAAGGGACCACTATCGAGAGCTACCCACATGGCATCCACCGCGAAGCTCTTGACTCGCAAACCCCCAAACCGTCCACCAGAAACAATGACCTTGTTCCTGCTTAATGGGCGGCAAAGCCTCCATTCCGGAGTCTTCTTAAAAAGGCTTCCTGGCATGATGAAAGGTGCTTCGTTTTGAACACCCCCCAACTGCCACACTGAACCGGCAAAGCTTAAACGTCTAAGCTATAAACC